AACAAAATATAGTAAATGTGTTAGTAAATGTTGAACATAATAATGTTAAGTATATTTACCAATATAGATGGGTTTATCAAATTTAATAATCTTGTGCTCTTGATTGACTGCTTTAGGTTATCAGTTATCAATCAACTAAAGGTTCAATATGTGATTTTCAAACGGATTTATATGATTTTCAAGAAATTCCATTTATGGAAGCTATAACTATTTCAGAACTTATACAAAATACAGGTAAATAATATTATATTTGAAATTATATTAGGTAACATATGAAACAGATTTTCATAACATTTTTACATTAACAGGATTGAAATCATTAAGGTTTTACTTAGCAACAAAAAGGAAGTGTACATCTGAATGTTGTGATAACATTGATTCTAATTCCATTGCTCCAAATCAAACTATTTATCGTGAAAACCTTTCAACAATAACAAATAGTTTAGATGAATATCCATCTAAAAATGATGAATCTTACTACTTGGCTTCCACTACACCACTATTGATTGATGATGAATATGATGATGAGGTACTTATATCTTGGTTTCAAACATATGGTGCTACAATACACCATGAACCACAGAATCATAATTATAATTTGAATGCACCTGCTACTGTCATATCCGAAAGTGAATTGTATTTACCAAGTAACACCAACAATAAAATAATAACTAGCACTACGGAGAATTCAAGGTCTCCCTCAGCTCATATAATTACAACTGTTGAAAATGTACCTACAAATAGTTTTCCTGATATTGATAACTTTCAAAATCATAACCATTTAATCCTTCATCGAGGAAGAATTTTTCATGAGTTATTAGATGCAATTGAAAACATTGATAAGACCTGTGACTCTATCACTATTGAACTCATATTACCCAACAGGTTTCCTGAAAACGCAATAGATGCAGGTGGCGTGTTATAAGATGCTCTGAGTGAATTTTGGAATAGTTTTTATGAGACTTCAACTGAAGGAACTACTTTGAAAGTACCTTGTTTGCGGCATGATTTTAAATGTCTACAGTGGAAAACAATTGCAAAAATATTTTACATAGGATGGAAAAAAGTATAATATTTTCCACTAAAACTTGTACCATCGTTTTTTGAACAACTTTTATTTGGTCATACTGAATCTGACTTAATCGAAGTATTCTTACAAACAAAATGTGAAGCTGATAAGCATATTTTATCAAACGCTTTAAAAGATTTTGAAAATATTGATACAGATGAAGTAATAGATATTTTAAGTGATTTAGGGTGTAGAAATATTGCAAATAAAAATAACTTTAGAAAGATATTGGAAGAAATTGCACACAAAGAACTTATTCAAAAGCCAATGTTCATAATTGATTGTTTTGTATAAGAATTGAAAGAAGCAGCATGGGAACAACATATTTCAATTGAATTTTTAAATAATATATATAATAATTTGAAAGCGACTTCTAAAAATGTATTAAGATTAATAAAATTTGAAGATTTTGATTTGGAAATTACTCAAGGACAACATTGAATTTTTTAAAAAAGTATCTTAAAGATAATATTATTAATTTTCTTATATTTTGTACAGGTGCTGATATGATTACTGGCACTAAAATTCAAATACAGTTTAATAACACTATTGGATTATTGAAAACTCCTATTGCATATACCTGTTCTAGTACTCTAGAACTCTCAACTGAGTATGAAAGTTTTTTTCAATTTAAAAGTGAAATGAATAATTTGCTCCAGTCAAATATTTGGGTAATGGACAGTATTTAAAACAAATTACAACTATCTACATTGTTATATAAACAAATATTAAGAATGTTTGTACTATGTTGTATGTTATTTATTTTATATTAATATTAAGTTGTACATCCAATACTAATTGGTAACTTAAGACTTGTTCATTTGTTTTTTTAAGCATTTAATTTACGTTACATATATTGTTCAATATTTTATAATAATTATATAAGAATGTTTTTATTGATTTTGTCTATTTTCTACATTCATTAATATTGTATTTCTGAGTTGAATATAAGTATTAAATAACTCATAAGGATCATTTGTAACATTGAGATTTTCTTCAATAATTATAATTTGACAAATCTCATTCAGTGTTTCATCAAATGTTGTGTGTGTATTAAAAATACATTCTTTCTCACATACTTCTTAATCTTTTTCATCAACATACATCAAATAATTTTCAGATGAGTAATTTTGAGGTATTTTAAACATAGTCATTGGCTGACCACTTAGTGAAATACTATTTTTTGACTTTCTTATTTTATGAGAATTCCATTCCCAAACCACATCATTCAGCTCTTTCTAAAAAATGTATTGTTAAATTATTAATATTTATTTATAATTTCTTTTTACATTTATGAATGTATTTATATTTGGATATTGACATAAAAACACTATGTACACTATATACACTATGTACACTATGCCCTTATTATGTTTTCTTAGTATTGACCACCAAGCTTCTATTCTTTGATTGGCAGGACTAGTTCCATATATAAATGATGGTCTGCTTGATGAAATGTCTCGATGAAAAAATGTTTGAATTTGCTCTACATGTCTATTTTCAGTTCCAGCATCAGCTCGAATTGTTTTAGGACAACCACCCAACTCTATGCATCCATTTGTATCCATGAAGTTGAGATGAACTACGAATTTGAGTTTCAATGAACTGGTAAACGTCATTATAAGGAGAAAAATTTATTCTTCTACACAAATTTAACTTTTTCAACTTTCTTTTTAAAGTACGAATACTAATATAGACTTGATGGTTTTCTAAATGTAAACAAATTTCTTTATGGCTAAGACCTAAATGAAAAGTGTTTGATGAATTTATCGGTTTCCATATTGCAATAACTAAAAAATTAGTATGTAGAAGGTAACAACCACAGAATATATTAAGTATATTAGGTAAATTTAACTTAATTAGTTGGTAGGTGCTAGTTGCTGCATTAAACTATGTTATGTTGTCGATCCACCCGCGCCTGGTCGTCAATAACACTATAGCAGCTACCGCCTACCAAACTAACAGACCCAACTTTTATAACCTCCTATTTAAAGTGAATTGTTTCGTCGTGAAAACGAGAGATTATCTAGTGTCTACGAGAAAATTATACCGTTATAACAATATGTTTTGTCGTACAAACGATAAATTATCTAGTGCCTACAAGAAAATTATATTGTTATAACAAAATAGTTTGTGGTACGAACGAGAAATTATCTTGTGCTTACAAGAAGTTATGTTGTATGAACGAGATATATCTTTTTATATCGTGATTATAGTTGGCCCTACTACGCCTCCGTACATAATAGATAGGTACATAGGCAGTAAATACACATCCATAGGTATACCTACGTTACAACTAGGTAACAACTAACTAGGTAGTCAACTTTTCTTCCAATTTTAGCTGCAGTTGATAAATTTTATTTGGATTAATTATAAATAGTAAATATGATACTTATATATACAATATATTGATAAACATTGGTAAACACATCATATTGTTATTAACATGATAATATAATTTCCATATTTCCTTCAATTTTCTTTATTTTTCGTGCGGCTTTTGAAAACTATTGTGAATTTTATACGGTCTTTTGACAACCCAAAGTACCAAATTTATTCACTTTCCTACCAGAAAAAATGCTGTAAAAATAAATCGAATATTTTTACTGCTCCAAAAGGTGATAAAAAACACACAAATAAATATCGCTTTCTTGTTCCTACCATCAAATCAATTATAATTTTGAAAAATCATTTCAAAAAATATTCGTGTACCTAATGATTTTTTTGATTTTTTGCTAACACAACCAAAACTGTTGAACGCAATCAGTTCATCGCAAAAGTACAGTAACGAAACAATAGATAGTAAAGGACACGACGAGTAATCGACTTTAACATAATAAAAGTAAACAAGTTTTTTATTAAAATATATTAAGCGAAGAAGTTAAAAAATATTTTAATTGTAAATTGTAATTATAAAATATATGCATGCTTTTATTTTGTAAAACTGGTGAAACTCGTTAACATAACTTCGGGCTGAAAAATCCAGTGGTTTGAATTCGGTCGTGGACGGATGACAGCTAGGTCCGTCTCCTTAGCTGCTACTTTTGCCGGCTTGGTAGTGATTGGTGCTCGTTCTCCACCATTCGGGAGTTGTTGAACTTCTTGAACATGAGGTTGGAGGCGACGATGTGCAACACTTGTTTCAGGTCGTAGTGGTGCTGATTAGCACGTTTTATTTAATGACCAAACCCGTATTATCCTCATGAAATCACTCCTGTCAGATTGTCTTCCATCGTCGTTGTTCATCTCTCTTGCCATCAAACAAGAGGCCCTCTGCAAGCCTATGATTTTTTTTGCGAAGCAGTTTGTTCTTTTGTAAGAAAGCTTCGTTTCGTAGTCCTGAAAGGACTAGATAAGTATTTATTATCTCACCCTTGTTCTGCCACCTGTAATAATCGAAAACAGAAAAATAAACAATGATTATATTCTAAGCATTAGTTTCTTCAAAAATATGTATGTTGTCCCCGTAATGACTGTACATAAATTGTAAATTATGAAATTATAAATTATTGCATTGCATAAAAATGTTTAGAAATCGGAAACTTAGCACGCTTACAGAGTGAACTTTCCTAACTTGTTTATCTCTGCCAGTGGCATACACACATGGAGCAGTGAAAACTAAAAATAGTCATGGTATTTATTGAGACTTATTGGCACCGCTACTTGCACGACTGCACAATTGCGCGGACCGAATTAGGACCGAAGTATTATATATCAATATTATTACCAAAAATTATATATGGTTATTGGTTATATTACAAAGTCTGTAACTTGTAGATTGTATTATTATTGCCATGCCAGCAAGTAGTGAAATTTTGAATTGAAAATTAAGGAACACTAATCTCATGTGTAATGTGTTAAACGTCAACATTAAAATAATGTCAGGGGAGTGGAGGAGTAAAAAATGTTGCATTACACACATGAGTACGCGTGTACTACGTTTGAACACATTCAAAGAAGAATGTTAATATGTAGTCTATCTAATAACTCCTTAATAAAATCTTTATTTTTATTAAATACTAAAATAAAATCGCTGATACATGCAATTTTCACTAAATGTATATATTTGCATTTTTTATTCACCTTACAATTTCAAAAATATTTTGACTTTTTTTAAACAATTTATAGACATAATACAATTTCAAATTTCATTCAACCAATTTTTTTGGATGGTCAAGAAACTTGTGAATCTACAATATATATTTTTAATGAGTGTCTCAAGTTAGAATTTTGGCGGAACATTTTGAAATCCAAAATACACACTCATATATCAAGCAAAACTAAATAAACCAATAATTGTATAATTAAAGTTAACTCAATGATTTTACTATGATCTGCAGTTAAAGAAAATATTATAAACACAATATTTTATAATTTATATGATATTTAAAATTAAATATTGAACGATGTACAATATTATAGAATTCTTACATGTCTACTTTATATATTATTTTATTATACTTGGTCCAGTTGTCCTAAAATATATTGTGAACCGACGTAGGCGATCTTAAGCAGTAGGGTTATAGTAGGGGTATAGCTCCGAAGGTCGGGTTCCCGGAATGCTATAATAGACCCAAGAAAATATAGGAAGAAGAGGGATATTAGAATATATTACTATAAAATATAAAATAATATATTGTTCCAAAGACAGGTTTATAACGCTCTAGTAGAACTCCAAAATTCAATATCATTTTTATTCATTAATACCACTATATGTATTTCCAACCCTTCGTCGCCTCATAAGTATATTTGACTCATCTTTACGTTCGCATTCATGTTGTAACAACTGTCTACTTAAAAAAAACAGACATACCAACCAACCTATGATACCTATAATATACGATAAACCCATACAGAATGTACGTTTTCAAGAAACGTCACACGAATTATAGCATCAAAGTATAAAACAGTGAATAGGTTATAGCACAATAAATGTAAAATCAATAATATTTCATTTTTATTAAATGAAAAAACAAATTCACATTTGAAAATAACAAAACTGTCGTGTTAAGTATATAATATGGTACTATTGTCGCCTCCGCGAAGTATACAATGTATCACCCCGCCACCAGATTACCTTCAGTCATATACTAAGTTATTTTCTATATATTTTCGCCACAACACATTTAAATAAAAATAAATTATAACAATAATTTATAATAAAATATTGTTGTCTATAAATTATAAATGGTTGTANATCAATTATAATTTTGAAAAATCATTTCAAAAAATATTAGTGTACCTATTGATTTTTTTGATTTTTTGCTAACACAACCAAAACTGTTGAACGCAAACAGATCGAGTATGATCCTATCCAATGTCTCACATCTCGTTAACATAACTTCGGGCTGAAAAATCCAGTGGTTTGAATTCGGTCGCGGACGGATGACAGCTAGGTCCGTCTTCTTAGCTGCTACTTTTGCCGGCTTGATAGTGGTTGGTGCTTGTTCTCCACCATTCGGGTGTTGTTGAACTTCTTGAACATGGGGTTGGGGGCGACGATGTGCAACACATGTTTCAGGTCGTAGTGGTGCTGATTAGCACGTTTTATTTAATGATCAAACCCGTATTATCCTCATGCAATCACTCCTGTCAGATTGTCTTCCGTCGTCGTTGTTCATCTCTCTTGCCATCAGACAAGGGGCCCTCTGCAAGTCAATGATTTTTTTTGCCAAGCAGTTTGTTCTTTTGTAAGAGAGCCTCGTTTCGTAGCCCTGAAAGGGCTAGATAAGTATTTATTATCTCTCCCTTGTTCTGCCACCTGTAATAATCGAAAACATAAAAATAAATCATGATTATATTTTAAGCATTAGTTTCTTCTATAATATGTATGTTTTCCCTGTAATGACTGTACATAAATTTTAAATTATGAAATTATAAATTATTGCGTTTCATAAAATTATGTTTAGAAATCGGAAACTTTGCACGCTTACAGAGTGAACTTTCCTAACTTGTTTATCTCTGCCAGTGGCATACACACATGGAGCAGTGAAAACTAAAAATAGTCATGGTATTTATTGAGACTTATTGTCACTGCTACTTGCACGACTGCACGATTGCGCGGACCGAAGTATTATATATCAATATTATTACCAAAAATTATTTATGGTTTTTGGTTAGATTACAATGCCTGTAACTTGTAGACTGTATTATTATTGCCATGCCAGCAAGAAGTGAAATTTTGAATTGAAAATTAAGGAAAACTAATCTCATGTGTAATGTGTTGAACGTCAACATTAAAATAATGTCAGGGGAGTGGAGGAGTAAAAAATGATGCATTACACATAAGAGTACGTGTGTACTACGTTTGTACTCATACAAAGAAGAATTTTAATATGTAGTCTATATCATAACTCCTTAATACAATCTTTAAATTTTTAAATACAAAAATATAATCATTGATACATGCAATTTTCACTGAATGTATATATTTGCATTCTTTATTAACCTTACAATTTCAAAAATATTTTGACTTTTTTTTAAACAATTTATAGACATAATATACAATTTCGAATTGCCTTCAACAAATTTTGTTGGTTGGTCAAGAAACTTGTAAATCTACAATATATATTTTTAATGAGTGTCTCAAGTTAGATTTTTGGCTGAAAATTTTGAAATCCAAAATACACACTCATATACCAAGCAAAACTAAACAAACCAATAATTATATAATTAAAGTTAACTCAATGATTTTACTATGATAAGTTAAAGAAAATATTATAAACATAATATTTTATAATTTATAAAATATTTAAAATTAAATATTGAACGATGTGCAATATTATAGAATTCTTACATGTCTACGTTATATATTATTTATTATACTTCGTCCAGTTGTCCTAAAATATATTGTGAAGCGATGTAGGCGATCTTAAGCAATAGGGTGCTTCGTTTTGTATAGTTCCGAAGGTCCGGTTCCCGGAATGCTATTATAGACCCAAGAAAATATACCAAGAAGAGAGATATTAGAATATATTACTATAAAATATAATATAATATATTGTTCCAAAGACAGGTTTATAACGCTCTTGTAGAACTTCAAAATTCAATATCGTTTTTATTCATTAATAACACTATATGTATTTTCAACCCTTATTGTCAAACGACTTACCAACGCCTACCAGTATG